GTCTACTGGGGGAGTGGAACTTTCTCTCCAGCCTGAGGTCTGCAAGGCAAGGGGCCAAGGCTCCAGCCTGCTCCCATGCCCGTGGCACTGAGCTCGGCCTCGTGGGGCATGTGCGTCTGTTCCCTGGGCAGAGGGGGTGTGCGGCGGGGACCCTCCACATCTCCCTGCTGCAGGCACCTGTCATCACAGGCTGAGATCAGCACAGCTTGTAAACAGCCCTGTGGCCAGACACATGTCTTCGCCATCTCCTCCCAGCTCTGCTCGTGGAGTCAGGGCCAAAACTGTCTCAAGAAATTAGTTTGCCTTTGCTGAGGCCTCCTTGGGAAGTAGCTGGGCAGGGGCAGGCTGCAGCCAGGGCAGCCTCTGCTTCTGTCCCCAGTCTATGAACAACCGAGGTGCCGCAGTGGGCGGATAGGGCTGAGGTTGGGGCCAGTGTCCTTACCAGGAAAGTTACTCATGTCTGCGCTACACACTTCATAGCATATTGTGGCATTTAGACTTCTTGGGGTTGAGGTCGATCCCAACCGACCCCTCAGCAGCTGCCCTGGCTTTCTCAGGTCTGACAGTCCCAACAGCAAGGGTGACACAGCTCCCCACATGTCTCCTTGAAGCAGCCGTGGGGGTCACAGGTTAGCCACTCTCCTGCTCCGAATCACACAAATTCTCTTCTCTCTCCTCTCTGACCCCTTGTTATATCCTTGATCTGGCTAAGGGGCCATCAGGGGTAGGACAGCTTCTTCCTGATGTCCTTTGTCAACTCCACGTGGCACTTTGGTTATACACAGCATGGAGCACTTATCAAGTGTCCGATTAGTTCTTCTGACCTCCTTCTAAGTATCCTGACATTTTGTTTCTATTCTGTCTCCGATCCCTTGGAAACAGGGCAGGGGAGGGGATGTCCTAGGAAGGATTCTGAGTTTCCTGCTGGACAGGCAATGGAGAGAATGGTTCAAAGTTTCTTCTCTGCAGCCAGACTGCCTGGGTTCATAATCCCAGCTTTATCCACCAGCTGGGTTTGTTTCCTCACCTCTCTATGCCTCAGTTTGCTCATCCATCAAATGGGGGATAATATTAGTAAGTACCTCCAAGGGCTGGTTGTGAGGATTAAATAAGTTAATACCTGGAAAGCCTTTATAACAAGGCCTGGCCCATACTAAGTGCCATTTTAGCGTTTGCTATTATTATTATTTGTCCCCATACTGCTCCAGGTGCCATGCTTCGCACTAGAGACATAGCAATGATGGAGAAAACAAGATCCTTGTCCTCATGCAGCTGTAGGGTGGTGGGGAAATAGACAAACGGGCGGTCGCAACACACCATGTTAGGTACCACAACTCGGGGGGCCTACGTGTGGCGGGGGCACCTGGGGAGGGGCACCTGGTGTGGGTGGCAGGGTCAGCAACAGGTGTCACCTGCCTTCCCACATCTCTGTGAATTACACGGTTCACTGGCTGCTGAGCCACATGACCATCTGAAGTTCTGCTTTCCTTCTCCCAAGGAGATTTGAGCTGATTTTTCTAGATTGGACATTGTCCTTGCTCTTACAGAAGCTGAGAACTAGCCCCTTATAGACTGCCTCTGGCAGGGGTGAGGAAGGGCACTGCTGGCCCTGGTTCGGGATTGTCGGGGGCGGGGGGGTTGTTTGCAAAAACAGGAGCTTCACCAGAGACAGTGGCTTGGCGCTTGTTTCTCTCTAGCAGCCTGCCCTCACATTCTCTTCAAGCCAGCAAGAGGGCAGCGTCCCCTTACCAAGAGAGGAAACCACTTTATAGAAAAGGATACGTGCATATCCAGACTAACGAATGAACCCAGGTCCTTTCGGCTTAACACATTCCTCGGGTTCTCTCAGTTTTTTGCCGATGCCAGCAGCTGGTTCCACTCTTGCTCCCCGTTCTAGTCCAAACTCTCCACCCTTTTCTCCTGATCATTAAAGAAACAAAGACTTCCTGCCTAACTTCCCTCTCTTGAAATCTGGAGAGGTGATGCTGCCCTGGCCAGCCTCTCCTCTCTCTCTCTCTCTCTCTCTCCCCGTAAAACGGGGACAATGGTCCCTGCCTTACAGAGTTATTGTAGTGAGAAACCAACAGGACAGTATGCGCCCATGGCCTTGCAACTCTGCAGCATCGTATAAACGCTAACTTGGCATTACTCCTCGGCCCTCTGGCAACAGCCTTACGTTACCCTTTCCCACCTTCTGCTCTTCATAATGTTCACGGGCTGCATCCAATCAGCCTGCTATCTGAGTTTCTCCAGACAACTTCCTCTCTTTCTTCCCTCCTCTCTGTCCTCAGTTCATACCACAAGGCCCCATGCCAGGGACATGCACATTTTCCAGCCTCACTCTCATCTTTCCGTCTCAACCCCAGCATTTTCGGAATCCACGTGTGTCTCTGTAAGAGTGGTCATCTAGGCTAGAGCCCAGTCCCCACGGTGGAACGTGCAAACCAGAGCAAGGCAGTCCAGGGCAGGAGGAAATATTAGAACTTCAATTTACATTTTTCAATCTTAAAAAAAACTAAGTGTTACCCATTTCTCCTCACTTGGTCTGTCCATATGTCAGACCGTCACATGTCATGTTGGGCACACAGTGTGTCCTCAGGGAAGAGTGGGGATTCCGAGAAAATGTGGCACCCCTTATGTTTGTCTTTGGCATGTAACAGCATAGCACATTGCACAGTGCTCAGTTTACTGGATTTTTCTGTTATGTTGTCTAGTGTTAACTAAACCAAACCTCACAAAATGAAGAAATGCCTTGAAAAAATTCCTGTGGACTCAAACTAGTGTGAGTAACATAATTGTAAGCAGTCATTAAAAAATGCAGTGCCGACACTTCTCAGGGGACCTCTAACATGTTATTAGCCGTATTACGAGGTAAAAATAATTATGACCTAGCAGATGTGACCCAAAAGTACCACAGGATCCAAATGAACAAGAAGACCATATGAAATACAGAGTTATATATGCATCATTAATAACAAACTTTGCCTTAAAGTGTATAATGTGCCCAGAGATAGCAGTTAATGATGAAATAAAAGCTATCTTGATTAGAAAAACATTTTAAAACACCAAGACACTCAAACTTTGCTGTACAATTGGACACAAGTATAGACATTTCTAGTATGTCTCTTGGTACTTGCAAGAATCCATTTCAACAATAAAATATATGAAGAACTATCTTTTCGTAAGCCATTAAAGGATGAATCAGTGAACATATATTCTCAATGGTAAATGATTTCTTGGATGAAAATTTAAGCTTTACCAAACCACTCTGTGAGTGTAGCCACCAATGCTACAACTGTAATAAAAAGGAATTGGGGTAAGTTCACAGTGATGGAGAGTGCTGTGTGTATAGTGTCCCAGACAAGCTATTGCACAAAGGAGTCAAAGCCAGAAGAAGACCAATTGCTACAGGAAGTCATCATGCAGCTAGTTCAATAAAGCTAGATCTTTATAGTGTAATGGTATCTTTAGGGAACTTCGCATGGAATAAGTTCTGTGAAAATTGCTTGCACCTTTTGAGAATTGCTAGCTATCTCTTGGCAAAGGAATTGTCAAACTTAAAGATGGGTTATTCTTTTATTTTTTTTTCACAAAAAGATGATATTCCCCATTTGCTGCCTTTTTCTGTGATGACAGGTGGCTGTCAGTAATATGCTTCCTGCTAGAGCTTTCCATGGAGGTTGACACACTCGTCTGTCCCTCCACAGTAATGGAGATGTTTCCCCTGTTTTTAATTCATGTCAATTGTTTGGGGTTTTTTCTCCGTAAAGGAAGGGGGAATGTTGTGAAATCAAGGCAAGATGTGTATTAGCATCAAAATACTGAGAACCATTTCCTTGTTGCTCAATCTGCAATCAGACATCTCCCGTGTACCTATAATTATTTCAAAATAAAAAACAACAAAAACAACACCTGTTCAAGCACATGTTCTATTGTATAACATGCATGTAGTATAATATATACTCTATATAAATTATAACTGTATATGGGGTATTATTAGTCCATATAATTTTTCTTACTATTTAAATTTTTTTAATTGACAAATAAAAATGGTATGTTTATTGTGTACAACATGATGTTCTGAAATATGTGTACATTGTGAAATGGCTAAATCGTGCTAATTAACGTGCTTTATGAATCACATACTTTTTTGTGTGTGTGGTGACAACACTTAAAATCTACTCTTGCAGTGGTTTTCGAGTACACAATATTGTTATTAGCTATAGTATACGATATGTATACAATATATTGTATTGTTGTACAATAGATCTCTTGAGCTTGTTCTTCCTGTGTCTAACTGCAATTTTGTAACCTTTCACCAACGTCTTCCCAACCCCACCCCTGGTAACTACCATCCTGCTCTCTACTCCTATAGGTTCACTTTTTGTAGATTCCGCATATAAGTGAGGTCATAGGGTATTTGTCCTTCTGTGCCTGGTGGATTTCACTTAGTATCATTTTTTTTTTTTTTTTTTTTTTTGAGACAGAGTCTCACTGTGTTGCCCGGGCTAGAGTGCCGTAGCGTCAGCCTAGCTCACAGCAACCTCAAACTCCTGGGCTCGAGCAATCCTACTGCCTCAGCCTCCCGAGTAGCTGGGACTACAGACATGCACCACCATGCCCGGCTAATTTTCTCTATATAGATTTTTAGTTGTCCAAATAATTTCTTTCTATTTTTAGTAGAGACGAAGTCTCGCTCTTGCTCAGGCTGGTCTTGAACTCCTGACCTTGAGCGATCCACCCGCCGCGGCCTCCCAGAGTGCTAGGATTACAGGCATGAGCCACTGCCCCCGGCCAGTATCATTTTTAATAAAAGCAAGGTGGGCCAAGAGGAGCCCGGTGGCAGCAGAGAGGCACAGCTGCCCAGGGCAATGGCTGCAGGGCTGGGGCTCTCAGCTGCTGAGTGGGCTGGATGCCCAGACGGTACCGGCCTCCCAGCGTGGGTGACAGAGGAGCTCGAGGGCCCTCCGGTGAGACCTGTCTGTATCTTCACTCCCCAGCCTCCGCGGTGATTGAAAATGGCCAGCTGGAGTGTCCTCAGGGCTACAAGAGACTGAACCTCACTCACTGCCAAGGTAGGGTGACTGGGCCTGGGCTTGGGGGGGAAATGACGAGGCCTACTGATGCAGGGGCATGCTCCCCACCCCAGACGGGAGGAGGGTCTGTCCCTGCCTGAGTGGTCTCCACTGGGCACCTCTGAGCCCCAGCTTGAGGGAGCAGTGGGGGCTGCTGGTTCCAGGGGCCTAGGGAAGTCGGGGACTTGCTTGAGAGTGACAGAGGGAGCCAAGGGAGCCGAGCCCCTCCCCTCCTCCCATCTCCACTCACCCCGCCCGGAACATGGGCCAGGTGCCTCTCTAGAGCAGTGTGGTGCTGTGTCTGGAGGCGCCACCCTGGTCCCTCACATCTGGCAGCTCCTGAGCTGGTCTCCCTGGAATGGGAAGAATTTCCACTCAGGCCAGCCTGAGTTGGTCGCCCCTGTGGACCCTTCCCAGCTAAGCACCTTCAGCTGCTCAGGCCTCCCTCTCACTGCCTCAACCCACAGGCAGGAAGGGGAAAGGTACTCCCTTCCTGGGGCTCCAGATTGGGAAACCTGCCAGGAGGAGAAGCCACTAGGGACAGTCTAGATATGAAAAGCCCCGTTGTGCCCTCCAAGGGCAAAAATGCAGATTTCTCCCCATTTCCACTGTCCAGTAGGTCTCCCACCATTGCCCCTGTGGGAGTCTGACCCCAGACTAGGCTGGGCCAGAGGCTGGCTATTTTGCCTCGTCCAAGCACTTTTTCTTATCCATGGGCTAGAAATCATTTCTGCATCCTGTCACCCCACACGTAGACAGCCCACCCAGCCCCCCAGGGCTTCCTCAGACTCCTCTCTCCAGAAGAAAGCTTGATGGTGGGGAGGGGGTGGGTGGGTACCTAGGAGGTACAGTTCCTGCCCCAGGTGAAAACAGACACCTAAATAATTTCGTACAATGACTGAAGTGTTCCTGATGGAAAGAAGCACTCGCCCCCCATGGTGGGGGCCCTTCCCAGACTGGGAGGATCAGGGAAGGCTTCCTAAAGAGGTGACACCTAAGCCAAGACTTTTAAAAAAACAAGTAGAGTTGGCCAGCTACAGGGGATGCAAGCTCTCTAGGCAGAGGGAACAGCATGAGCAAAGCAACAGTTTGGGGAGGCCCGAGTGTCTGAGAGGGCACTGTGTACACGGCCTGTGTCCACACAGGAGATGCTACAGGCATGCCAGTGTCATCAGAGTTACCTGCTTGCCCACAGGCTTTGGGAAAATGGTGGAGGGCCTTGGATACCGTGTTAGGGTTTAGGAGCTCCCTCTAGGAAGTGATGGGGAGTTCAGAAGCTTCTCACGCAGAGGGAGACAAGTCAAATTGGTGTTTAGAGGCATCACGGTGGCCACAGTCTGGAGGCACATGGATTGGTGCCCCTTCCCAGCTCTCTGCGGCAGCTCCCACGCACCCCACTGGGGCGTCCTACCAAGGAGTAGCTCCCCTTGGTGCCCATGCTGGGTCATCTTTCAGATGCTCATTCCTGTGCTCAGTGCCAGTTTCCCCAAAGCCTGTGGGTGAGCTGGTGGCTCTGATGACACTGGGCTGCCTGTGCTATCTGCTGGGCGTGTTGGAGGGTGCCTCTCACAAACATTTCATGCTCATCATCTCTGCGCCATCACGATTGTCAATGGAGGCACCATCACCAAGATGGCCCTCAACTTCTTGAAACTTAGAGTGTGAGGGTTGGGATTTCCCCTCCGCAGGAAGAAGTTTACAGTATGGAAAATTTTGAGATCACAGGGGGCAGCTAATGTACCTCCCTTGTTTGAAGAACAGCATGAGCATCCACTGGTCTTGGGGGGATGTGTGTGGCCTGCCCAAGGCAGCGGTGTTCACAAGGACCTGGAGGAGTGCCCCCTAAACTCTGCCTCTGCCCACCCTTGCTGCAGGCCCCTCTCCCCTCTTCCCCAGCCCCATCGGCACCTTCCTCCAGCCTCTGGCCTCCTCTTCCTTGCAAAGGCCCCTCTGTCCTCCAGCTCAACGCAGACGTGTTCCCAGGGACTTGGGCCCTGGCATGGTGCTTTAGGGGCCTCTGGAGCAAGGCTGAATGGGAGGAATGTGGCTGCCCCTTCTCTAGCCTCCAACCCACAGTCCCTTTTACCTGTGTCCCCTGTGTCCCAGCATGCCACCCACCAGCTGAGTGACTCTGGACAAGTTACTCCTGGAGCCTCAGTGCCTTCACCTATAAAATGAGGACATGTGGACCTACTCAATAAAACCGTTTTGTGAGAATTAAATGGGGTATCGTATGTTAAATACCCGGCAGAGTACATGGCATGTGTTAGGTACTCCATGGATGTTAGTTCTTAGTACTGTGATCATTATTACATGCCATTAGTGGACCAAGTGTTTGCAATTTTGATCTTATTTTATCTCTCTGACAACACTAGCTGATCATTACTACCATTATCCCAATTTTACAAATAAGGAGACTGAGGAATGGAGAGAGGAATCTGTACTCAGTGAATGGCAGCTTTCTTCTTGTTGTCGTTTTATTTGGAGAAAGTATTTAAAGATCTCCGCCCAGCCCCTCCCCTCCATCAGGCGTCGGTGGGATGGGTGCTTGGTCATCTCCTCCAACCCTGCAGATATCAATGAGTGCTCGACCCTGGGCCTGTGCAAGGACGCGGAGTGTGTGAACACCAGGGGCAGCTACCTGTGCACATGTGGACCTGGCCTCATGCTGGATCCATCTCGGAGCCGCTGTGTGTGTGAGTGCCAGTGGGGACCAGGGGTGGGGGACGCTGGGAGGCAAGATGGGACCCTCCAGATCCAAAGGCAAGGCCCAGAGCAGTAATTTTCCCCAGACCTCATCACCCTATGCTCACGGCCGGTGTCTGCTCCTCAACCTGGAGTTGGGCCCAATGTACAAAAACGGATTGGCCCACCCTGCTGGAAGAGAGATGGTCACTACTTCACTTTTTGCATTAAGCATTTCTTCTGAGGGATCTGAACTTGGTCTGCTGTGTCCTGGCCCTGACCGGGACTTCCCTAGGGTCATTCATTCCTCAGCTTTGCTTGGTGTCCCCTTCACCCCACCCCTCATCCCCTTAGAGTCCGGTCTCTTCCAACCTGGCATGGCCTCCTCATCCAATACACAAGAGACTATTCTTTAATGTTTACTATCAAAGTATAAGAAAGGGGACAGTGGTGATGGCATTGCTATGACCTAAGCCAAGCACAGGTCAAACTCACTGTGATCCACAGTATTTTGATTGATTCATTGATCTAGTGGTCCATCCATGGATTCAACAAGCACTTACTGAGCATCTACGTGCCCCAGACACTGTGGAAGGTGCCTGGGTGACAAAGATGACCAAGACAGGGCCCCTGTCCTCAAAGCTCCCCATCAGGCCTTTGGCTCTCACCTCATCGCATCTTCCCAGGAAGGCTGTGGTCCTCAGAGCACACTGCTGCCCACTTAGCCCCAGGCACACATAGGCCGCAGGAGACACTTGAGAACTCAGCATGGGAGACAAGCAGCTGCATCCTCATTTCCTGCTCTCAGGTTCTCCGCATGAGGGTGGGAGTAAGAGTCTCATCAAACAGATAACGTGAGGAGATGCTGAAACATTCCTCCTAAAGTTCTCGTGAACATTTTCAGGGATCCAAACTTCCAGACGGAGACATGGGCCAGGCCCGTCTGCGTGCGTGTGGCTGGCCACACCCCCCCACCCACTGCCCTCCATCTGCGCGTTCCCCTCCCACTGACCACCTAGCCACCCACATGTGCCATGTCTGTTGCAGCGGACAAGGCCATCTCCATGCTGCAGGGACTGTGCTACCGGTCGCTGGGGCCTGGCACCTGTGCCCTGCCTTTGGCCCAGCGGATCACCAAGCAGATCTGCTGCTGCAGCCGTGTGGGCAAAGCATGGGGCAGCAAGTGTGAGAAATGCCCCCTGCCTGGCACAGGTAACCGCCTGCCCCCATCCCAGCTCTGACCACCAAGGGGCTTCTTCAAAGCCAGTGGCCATGTTCCCCAGCCTGGGTAGACCGCCCTCAAGCCAGAAGACTCCGTCGTCCCTCCTTGTTGGAGTGCTTATCCCAGCCTGGGGCTCCCTCCCTCCCTGCTGCCACAATTGTCTCCCAAAGGGAGGGAAAGGAGCGCCCTGGTTTCTTGCAGGAACAGCATTTCTCAGCTTGTCCTCTGGCTGTTGGCTTTGCAGAGGCCTTCAGGGAAATCTGCCCTGCCGGCCATGGCTACACCTACTCGAGCTCAGACATCCGCCTGTCCATGAGGAAAGCCGAGGAAGAGGAACTGGCCAGGCCCTTGAAGGAGCAAGGGCAGAAGAGCACTGGGACACTGCCTGGGCCGGCAGAGAGGCAGCCACTCCGGGCGGCCACAGACACCTGGCTTGAGGCCAAGACCACCCCTGACAAGGGTATCTGAGCCGGGGAGATGCCTGAGGAATTCCCCTTTCCCCTGTGTTTACAGTGCCTCAAAGAGGCATAGGCATTTATCCTGGGTCCTTGGGGGCCCCATCTCTGGGGCATAAGGAAAGGGAGCTTGGAGTGCAGCACCCATCCCTGGGAAGCTTCTCTCACGGCCTGGCATGACAGGAAGGCCTCACTCACCTCCTCTCCCATATAGGCTCAAGAGGTGCCCACACCCTTGAAAGCTGCTTGTAAAGTTGGGAGAGGGTAGTAGCAGCGCCAACCCACTGATCAGGCCTCTCCACGCTCTGCCCTGGCCACCAAGCTTCTGGGGCTGGTACTTGCTGCAGGCCTGAAGAGCTGGCCGTGGGTCCTGGGGAGGCTGTGTGCTTCACATGCCCAGCTCTGGCCTCGGAGTCAGAGTGCTCACTCCAGCTCAGCTGCCTCGGACCGAGGAGGCACAGGGCTGGAGAGAGACTAGGCTTGAGGCTCTCCTGGCAGGTGCCTTGGGACACTGTGGCAAAGTCATGACCCAGTTACTGGTAACACGGAATGCAGGAGGCCTGGGGCATATTGGGGCCAGGCAAACTATGCGATTCCAAAAATTGCTCCAGGAATCTGAAACAGACAGGAAGTGAGGACAGAGCCTCCGTTGTCATGGACACTGGACACTGTCCAAACCAGGAGCACCTCCACCCCTTCCTGGAACTATTCCCCTGGCCCATAGCCCAGGGCAGGGAGCTAAGTGACTCAGTGTGGCTGGGAGGCATCAGGGGAGGAGGCTGCCATGCAAGGAGGTGGGCTACAGGATCAATAGGGTGGACTGGCCCGGGAGAGGGTGGGGCTCCTGTCACTGTAGGCCTTAAAGGAAAGCAGGGGCTTCCTCTCACCAAGCAAGAGGCCGAGCTGAGCTACCTTCAGGCCCTCCAGACTGGGATTCTGTGGTGGCCAGTCCCCACAGTGGGGTGACAGGGCAGAGACAGGTAAGAAGAGTCCACGCTTTCAATGCTGCTGACCCTGCTGGGCACACAGTTGGAGGGGTACAGACCATGGAGCTGCCCAGGCCATGGGTGGAGGGGATAAGGCAGGCAGACCCTCCTCCTTGAGCTCATGCTGTCACCTTTCCCTTCCCAGGTGACTCTCAGGCTGGCCAGGTGAGTGAGTCCTCCCATTAGGGAGCTGGGCAACGGTGGCAGAGAGTGGGACCTGGTAGCCACTGAGGCCCCAGGGCAGTGCCCCATGAAGGGGGACGGGGAGAAGGATGAGTATCTGTCGGATTGTACTTGGAGAGATGACAGACTGGGAGGGTGGAGCCAAAGACCCAGTTTTACCCTAAAGGAAGTAATAAAAACGACTGTTTATGGAGCAGCTGCTGTGCAAGCTTTCTGCTGGGGATGGGCTGAGCCCCTTCAGAAAGGAAGTAGGAACAGGTCCTGTTAGTCCTGGCTGTCACTCAGGCTTTAAGCACTACAGATGGGGTTTAGAGTTAGTTCCAGTTCATTCTGGATCTGGCACTTTCTGAGCCAGTTTAGGTTAAACGTCAAGATCTCCTCTGTGAGTGGCGTATGGGGAAGTAGAGGCACAGCTGGGAAGAGCCTCAAACCACATCACTGAGAAAGGGGCGTCCGACTCCCTTCTCTGTGCCCAGAATCCCCCTGTGAAGAACTGGGTGTCCTCCTAGAAAAGCATTCCAGAAGAGTGCATCTGCTGCTTCCTTCACCATCTGCCAGTCCCTGCCCTGCCCCCTGCCCCTCCAACCTGAGTACCTGACTGTCCCCAAATAGTTTCTCCAGCGGGCTTGTTCTCTCTCTGGAGCACCACGTGCCGTCCTCCCGATGAGGCCAAAGCTCTAATCCCGTGTCCTTACAGACCCAACCATGCTCCAGGGCCTCTTTCATCCTCTGCCCATTCTCCTCGTCCTGTTCCCCACCTCTTCACCACCTCCATCCGCAGGCTGTGTTGAGGGACACCAGGTGTGGCCCTGGGTCCTGGCATTGCCACATTGGCCCTGTGGCCCTGGGCACTCTAGTTAACTTCTGGAGCTTTGGCTACTCTGAGACACGGGATTGCATCACCGGTACCGTACACGCTGATTTCCACCGTATGCCCGGCACTGAGCTGGCACAGTGCATACATGGGCTCATTGAATCCTTTCAACCTACTATGGCGAGCCAGTTGAGAAGATTAATTAAGACAGTGATGTAAAGTGTCCAGCAGAGTGCCCGGCGTGTAGTAAGAACTCATCAATGAAAAAGTGAATGAGCGAGTTGGACAGGAAGCCTGGAGTGGGGGTGAGTGTGGTGGAAGGAAGCACATCATGGGGGGACAGAGGAGCCAAAAATGACCCCCTGTTTCTGTGCAGGTCACCCCCAGTGTCACCCATGTACCTGCCGGGGTCCCAGGTGAGTCCCTTCTCCTAGCAGCTCCCCGGGGAAAGAGGAGGGAGGGAGAATGACCTTAATCTAGCAGGGGAGTTCCTATACGTGAGCTGGCCTGTCCAGAGGACGTCATGAACGGCGTGGCATGTGAATGCTCACACCTCAGGTGCATGAAGGTCAGTGAGAGACCCCGTGATGCCTTGCAAATAGTTTCCTAGCCGCAGAACTCTTTCTGAATGTCATGGTGCCACTCAGCATGTACATCAGACCAAAGAGGAAGCACTTGCTGAAACAGGCGGTTGGTGGTGTCCCTAGAGCTCTTTCATCCAAAACTGTCAGGGCTCTGCAGAGCCCAGCTTGCCAGTCGCCAGTGTTGGCTTCAGAAATCAGAAGGCTGAGCTTCTGCTTCTCCCATTATAAAATGGACGCCAATGCCTGTCTTGCTGCCTCTCAAGGCAAATGAGAGGTTGATAGTTGTGGCAGAGCTCTGCAAGCTGTAAAATTCTTTGCAAACAGAAGGGAGAGAATGCTGAAGTGGGAATCAGGAGACCTGGGCTCCTGCTCTTTCTCCAGCAAGCTGGCTGGCCTTGGGCAAGCAGCCACTTCTGTGAGCCTCAGTCTCCTGTCCTGTGAAATGGCAGGTTAGACTGGATGCGCTCGAAGGCCCTTAGAGCTCTCAGACTCTCTGACTGTGTGGGTCCAGGTCTAATTTCAAGAGACTAGGAAGTGCAGGGGTGACCCAGCCTAGGTTCCACCCCTTGTTCTTGGGAGTCGGAACAGCAGGGAGGAGGGAAGGGTCACTGCCAGCCAAGGAGCTGTCGGCTCACCTCTTCCCCTCTCCCCTCCACAGTGGATGCCATAGGAAGACCAACGCCACCACTGCCTGAACAGGGGACTCCAGAGACCCAGGAAGAAGAGCAAGTGACCCCCTCCACCAACGTACTGGTGACCCCGAGCCCCCCAGGTAGCTGCAGCCGGCCCTTTAGGGCTCTCTGCATGCTCCCCTGTGAGGTGTGGCTGTCCAGAGCTGACTCCAAGGCAGGGGAATAAGTGGAACCCCTCCCTCACCTCTCCAACCAGATGACCTCCCAGGCTCTGCACCCCTGGTCTCCTGCTATGAAGAGCACCAGGTCCCCTTAGTGGAAACAGAGGCCCTATCTGGAACACTGCTCAAGCCCAGGGAGGGGGAAAGAGAAGGGACACCAGGGGTCTACCGGGAGAATACAGGGGTGCTCTCCAGGAAAGGGAGCACGTGGAGTGAGAGCCTCCGAGCCCGGCTCTTCCAGGCTGTTTACCCTGAGTCAGCGGATACCCTGGCAGCAGGCAGCCTCCTGCCCACGGGGAGGGCTGACTTTCGGGAAGGAACACGGTTCTGTTTCTCGAGGTTGTTTCCCTGAGCCTGCATTCCTCTCCCTCTGGTCAGCTGCAATTGTGGGGGGGTGGGGGGAGGCGTGGGGGAGATCCCTGGCAAATCCACCTTGCTCTGGAATGTGCCCTCCCTAAAGGCTCATTGTCTGGGGACTTGGTTCCAGAGAAGCAAGGCCGGTGCTGTCGCTGTTGCTCCCGGTGCACACGCGTGCGCTCTCCGGGGCTCACTGCTCTCTTGAGCTCACCACTGAGATCCACAGATCCAAGTCAGCTTGAGTGGGAGGTGAGGGTGTAGGGGTGCTGACACAAACTTGGAGCCAGGCCAGGGGAGAGGGCAACCTTGCAAACAGGCGGGTGTGCACATTCAGTTCTGTCCAATCCAGCCAATACTGCTAGCCCCACTGTGTACCAACACAGGCCTCTTCCCAACCCATTCCCGTGGGTCTTCAGGGTTCTCTCAGAGCTGCAGGGGAGGGCAGGGAGCCCTGGGTATGTGGGCTTCAGGCTAAGACCTCGGGGCAGACACAGAGGCTGAAAGCATCGTTATTCATTCATTCATTCGTTCGTTCATTCAGCATGTTCTAAGAGGTAATTTTTTAGCATTAGGGATACAATTCAAAAAGCTAGAGTCTGTCCCACCTACATGGCCAACTGAGTCCCGGTGAGTCTGCCTCCAGACTGGTTCTCGATTTAGTGCCTATCTCCCCACTTTTCACCCGATTACCACCACCTAAGGCAGACCCTCATTCAATTATTTTGACAGGTTCTAGGGGCCCCTATGCCTCCCATACAGTTTATCCACTGTCTTGCCGCCTGGGTGGCCTTTCTGAGATGGCTCCAATCCGCCCCCACCTTCTGTGACCCCCTTGCTTACAGGCCAGTCGCAGTGTGGAATTCAAGGCCCTGCTCAGTAGGCCCCAGCCCCCATCTCTCATTTTCCCCTGCACCCTCCTCACCAGCTCTGCTGTCTGTCCCGGGGGACCCAGGCAGAAATTGCAGGCAGGGGCACTGGGCACAGGGTGGGAGCCAGGCCCCTATTCAGAGTGAGGCCAGGCTGGAGGCCTCAGCAGGGAAGCTGTGTACTGGATATACGGTTCCTAGAACCTATTAGGTCTTGGTTGGGGGATGCACTCCTGCGAGCCCCATCCTGAGTAGGGCTCAGGGCCCCAGATGGAGTCTCACGTGAGGCCATGCTGTGCATGGATATGGGAGGGCCTGGCTAAGGTTGTTCTCCTGAGACCCCTGTACTCTGGCCCCTGCACACCCTACCCTGCTCCACTGCCTTCATCCACCCCCTCCCTGCCACGACCTCTGCTTTGCTCTGTCTCACACAGGCATTGATAGATGTGCTGCTGGAGCCGCCAACATCTGTGGCCCTGGAACCTGCGTGAACCTCCCAGATGGATACAGATGTGTCTGCGGCCCTGGCTACCGGCTGCACCCCAGCCAGGCCTACTGCACAGGTATTCACTTAGGCCTCCTGGGCTTACTTGGTGGCTGGGGTGGATGGCGGGCAGGAGCTGGGGCACTAAGCCAAGAGTCCCAGGCAGTAGAAGAGCCAAGCAGTGCTGGGTGGTTGATACGTTTAGGAGGAGCGTAACTAGTCACTGTGGACAAAGCTAACCTTGACCTTCAGGGGAAGGCCAGTCTCTGTGAGCCCCATCCGACGAGTCTCCAGGACTCCAGGAGGGTAGGAATCCACCCTACAGCACTCTGACCAGTGCCTGGCAGCCCTTCACTTTGACATCAGCCCACCCCTCAACATGGCCATTTTGCTGCCTGCAGAATGGACCAAGGTCTGCCCCAGTTGAAAATGTCTCCTCCAGGGCCATCCCTGGTTGTGAGGTTTGGGGCCAAGATAAATCATCAAGTGTGGGCCTCATTCCTCCCCCCTCAATATTTTTATACAAAGGAGAAACATCCACTGTGGTCTTGAAGGAGAAAGGAAGTGATGATAGGGCCACTGGGGGAAAGGGACCAGGAACAGGGAGGAGGTGCTGGAAGTCACCCAGGCCCTGAGTGCCTGAGTGGGCCCAATGGGCCGACTTTGTGGCTTCTAGCCTTGGAGATTTTATCTCCCTGGCCTCCTCTGCTCCCTCACCCCTTCCTTGCCACACAGCACCATCCCCTGCCCAGCCCCTAGTGTGGGCAGTTGCTGGCAGGTACCCAAAGAAAGGCCCTGCTGGCCTCCCTGACCTCCCTCCCTGCCTTCCTCTGGTCAGATGACAACGAGTGTCTGAGGGACCCCTGCAAGGGAAAAGGGCGCTGTGTCAACCGTGTGGGCTCCTACTCCTGCTTCTGCTACCCTGGCTACACGCTGGCCACCTCGGGGGCCACGCAGGAGTGCCAAGGTAAGCCAAGCCTGCCTGGCCCTGTGATGGGCACCGGAGAACGCACCCTGGTCGGGCCCCACAGTCTCGTGGGGCTGGAAGAGGAATCACGCATTGTCAGCCCCCAGCCACAGTGCCGCAGAATGGGAATGCGAGAGCTGTGGGAAGAGAGACCCAGACTTTGGCCTGGGCCTGGGAGGAGGCTGACCCTGTGCCAAGAGCACAAGGAGGGATAAACATCCAAAGGGCAGCAACATTTGCAAAGGCCCCAAGGAATTGTGGCTGGAGCCAAGAGTGTGAGGGAGCAGGCGGACATGGCTGGAGATGGGGACTGAAAGCCCGGTCCCCAAACTCTAAGTGACAAGTGGCTGCTTTTATTTTGGGAAAGGAGGCTAACCCATGAGGATGAGCTGAGGCTGTTGGCAGGCTGGGGAGTAGGTGTGCCTTTGAGAGAGGAGCACAGGTCCCCGGCAGCTTAGAGACACCTGCAAGGCTTTGAGCTTCCCTGGAAAGGCCTGGCCCACTGCTAGGGGATGCTGGATAAACATGCTTCCAACACAAACCCTTTAATAATACAGAGCACTCCACATCCATTTTTATGAGTGAGTTCATGAAGAGTACAATGCAATGCCTTGAGATTTATAACCCAGTTGGAAATCCTTCTCCTCGAGAATGGCCCTGCCTGTTCTTGGGGTTCACGGTGCTGGTTCTGGCCAGGGCAGCCCAGCAGTCACTCACAGGCCCCCCAGGGAGGCCAGGGAAGCTCTGTGTTCTCCCACTGTCAGGGTCCCCTTGGGTTCTAATCCCCTAAGGATCTGGTCTGCAGAAACCAAAGCTATCCAGGTCCTCACTTGATTATGGGGGGAAGAAACATGGGGGAGATGGGCCATCTGACTTAATGGAAGAGTGGGAAAATTGTCCACATCATTCACTGAGCACTCAAGCGTTGAGCACCTATGTGCCAGGCACTGTGCCAGGCTCTGAGAGTGTGAGATGAATGACGCATGAGCAGCAACACTGTAGGATCCAGATGAGAAAACAGCTGCTTCTGTGTGAGAGAATCTGGGAAGGTTTCCCTGAGGGGGGTGCTTGAGCTGTGGCTGAATAATATTAGCTACCATTTAATGAACACTTATTATATGCCAGGCCTGTCCTGAGCACTTTACCATATGAAGCTCATCATCCCAACTCCATGCAGTAGAAATGCTTATCCCCATTTTGTGGTTGAGCAAACTGAGGCTCAAAGAGATGAAGTGAAATACCCAGGGACTCAACACCTAGTGGTGGCAGAACTGGAAAGAGAATCAAATCACTCTGGTTCCAGTGCATGGATTGCTTCCAATGACACATTCCCTTACCGTGGGGTGTTGGACACCACATGACTAGGAATGAAGGGAACAGAGGATATTCCAGGGCATGAGAACCATTTCTGCAGAGACCCGAGTAGTGAACAGGCCTGGCATGCTCTGGGAATAACGACAGATTGAGTATGACTGGAGCGGGGGTACCTGGAGAAAGTAGCAGGAATCGAGGCCAGTTTGTGAAGTGTCTCTAGTGCCAGGCTGAAGTGCTTGGATTCCGTCCCACAGGCAGTGGCAGCCAGTAAGGGTTTGTGAGCAGAGGGGTGGTGATTCGGTCAGCTGGCTTTCAGGGAGGTGACTCAGGCGGCAGTGCTCAAAGCAGGCAGGAGGAGCCAGGGGAGAAGCTGGGGGCAGAGGACTTCTCCAGACTCTGGCTGCCTAGGTGGGTATTGTGGCCAGAGGCACTGCTCTTTGCAGACCTAGCCCAGGGAGCTGGGCCAGGATGAGCAGTGACTGCTGCAGGGAATGGTTTCGCCAGGACTGGCCCAGACAAGGGGTTCCACCACGTGCCAGCCTGGGTGACCGGGATGTCTCTGCCAGCCCCAACAGCTGGAGGTCAGCTGTAAGTGCCTCTCCCCATGGGGCTTGGCTGCCACTTGAAGAGGACTGATCCAGGATGACACCCACTTTCTAAAGTCTGCCAGTCTCATAATGTGATATCTCATTATTTCAATGATTTAATATTTTTTAGTTATTTAAATAATTTATATAATTAGCATAAATAGCTTATATTATATAAATTAATATAAATATAGTTTACATACTAAATATCTAAGTAAATATTTACAAGTAAGTGCAAGTGTCTCTTTGTACATTAGCCTGTGGGTTTCCTCATCTGTAAATTGCTTGTTCCTGTCTTGTGCTCAGTTTCCCAATGGTGGCTGCTGTTTTTCATGTAGCTTCTCAGGAGTCCCTTATATATTGCAGGTACTAGGGTGGGTTTAGATTGCACCTCTCCCATTTTGTCCTCTTTCCATTAACCTTATCCACATGTCCTTCTTTGAACGGAAATCTTTAATTTTGATGTATTGAAATCCACTTTTTAGCCTTATTTTTCATGTTTTGGGGGTTTTATTTAAGAAGTCCCTCCCTACCCTTAAGTCACAAAGCTATTCCCCTATACTTTCTTATATTAAGCTTATAGTTTTGCCTTTTATGGTATACTTTAATCCGTCTGGAATTCATCTTTGCATGGAGGTTAAGAACCTGCTTTTTTCCATTTCCATTTCCATTTTTCTCCATAGAATGAGTCAGCTTTCCCAGCACTATCTATCGGGCAGTCGTCCTGGCCCCGCGGGTTAATAAGTTCTTCACCAAATTCCCACACATGGCTCTGCCCATGAGTTCCCTTTCCTCTTCCATTGGATTAGATCTTCTCAAGCGAGCATTGGTTCTTGCAGAATCGCCTGAGAAGTTATAACAATGCAGGTTCCTGGGCCCACCCAGCACTGCTGGGCCAGAATGGCTGGAGGCCTAGGAGTGTGCATTTTACACCTTTGCCGCTGACTCTGCTGTGAACAGGAGTTTTATGACGTATTGCTCAGATGAACTTCCTGTCCATGAACAAATGATCATTATTCGATTCCTTTGATAAGCACTTATTGGGGTTCTGTGATGGGCACCAGAGACACTGAGATAACCAGGCGTGTCCCCAGCAGCGAGGGAAGCAAGAGAGTGAATGGACAGTCACGCTAAGGGCTGGGCTCTAAGGAGCCCTGGGAGCGGGCACCTGGGTTGGAGGGACGAGGTCAGCCTCATCGAGAGACGAGTGGGAACAAGTCATGCTGGTGGGAAGGAAGCCACTCCAGGCAAGGGGACAGCACAGGCAGAAGCTCAGAAGCAGGTCCTGTGTGGCCAAGGCGAGGAGCAGTGTGGGAGGCAGGAAATGAGGTGAGAGAAGGAGGCCCGGGCCAGGTCGTGAAAGATCCCACATGCCAGGCTGAGCAGCGTTGATTTTATGGGCTAGATTTAAAGCTAGAATAATAATAATAGCTAACATTTCTTCGGTGTTTACCTGGTGCCAGGCAGGCACTGTGCTAAGCTCTTCACCTGGATTAGCTCACTTACTCTGCACAAGGACTCTGTGAGGTGTTCCAACCAGTCCCGGCTTGGTGGGGGTAGCTCAAAGGTGAGGCCTCGATTAATTTGACTGGGGGCAGGGAGTGGGGAGTGGCCGTAGGACCCAGAATTGATACATTAAAGCAATCCTTGAAATGGGAGTAGGAATCTGATGGCCATCAAGGTGAGGAAAGACACTCCAAGTAGAGGCATTTGTGTTAACAAAGTCTTGGAGGTTGGACCAGTGAAATCTGCTATACTGGAGGCTATTCTAAGGGGCACATGCAAAGCAGCAAATACAGCAAGGCTGGCCCCAGGTGGCAAGGGCTCTGTGAGCCAGGCTGCAAGCAGGCCTGGAGGTGGTGGGGGGCTTTGGTAGGGGGTTAAGCAGGAGAGTGGTATGGCCAAGGTTGGGCTTTAGAGCCATCATGGGGTACCAGTATGCTTTGGAACAATGACATAAACCACACCCTGCAAATCCAGGGCTGCCTAAAATGCTCTTTCTCACTGGCTGCTTAACTCCTAACCTTTGAGGAGGTCCTTAAGAACTTTCGGAACAGCCCGAGTGGGATATATTGGGGCCAGGTGGGGACTTTCCTGGTCTCCTCATATCACTGGCCTCCAACTGGAAGTTTTTCCAAGTTCTTGGTGATCAGCAGGAAAAGAATTTCAGAAGAGCCCCACGTAAGCCAAGCAAGCAACAGCTTTTTATTGTAAGCAAAAGTACACTCTGATGGGGGGAGGGTGGGCAGGCTCGAAAAAGAGCAGCTGCCCTGGGAGGAAGTGGTTTTTGGTCTTCTGAAGTCTTGCTAATTGAGTGTATGAATATTCACAACCAAGGGGTTGGCTTTTACTAAGAATTTGAGTACGAATTCCTAGAATTGAGTTCCCTCCCATTTTCATACTTTATATGGTTGTCTCGGAACTGTCATGGTGATTTCAAGGGTAGAGAAATTTTAAAACCACAAAGTAAATGATATTGTAATTAGCCAAAGTTCATGTCAGGTGGCAGAGATAGCTGACAAGCTGATTGAAGCCAGGTTTTGTCTGTGGTTATCAACCCCTCTAGTTAGGTTCTGCCTGAGGGTTGTTTACTTAACACCTGCACCCACTCTGCAAGCCCCTGCATCTGGTCTCAGCCCCTTCTCTAGTCTCCTACTCTAACACTCAGACCATGCCATATGGACTGCAACCTGACCTCAAGACCAGCCCTTGCATCAGGATAAGGAGATACTGAGAGGCCCCCCAATGGGCCCCAGAGTTGCCTCCCTGGGAGAAAGGCACTCAGGGCTTATCAGGGGACTGAGCTAGATCAGTCTCACACCTGGCTGGGAGCCTGTCCAGCCAGTGTGGCTGCAGCAAGGACGCCTTCCCCGCCTGGGCCTTAGCATGGGTCCTCGGCCACTGAAGGGATGCCCCAGGACCCTCTCCAGGGCCGGCTGTGACTCGGGGCTTTTCTGTGTGTTCACAGACGTAGACGAGTGTGAGCAGCCAGGGGTGTGCAGTGGGGGGCAGTGCACCAACACTGAGGGCTCGTACCACTGCGAATGCGATCAGGGCTACATCATGGTCAGAAAAGGACAATGCCAAGGTAAGAAATGGGAAGAAGGGAGGCAGCCTGCACCCCACCATCTCCTGAGCCCTGCCCATGCACTGCCCACCACCAACTCCCCTTTGAGCCCACCCACATGGATAGAGACATGTGTAAAAACTTCTGAGCCCTCCCACCCCCTCAGTGAAATTTTGACATCCTGCCTGCCCCCTGCAGTGGGGGAGCACAAATACCATTATCTACCTGATACCTTGGGAACCTCTCTGTATACTCCTACCCTCTTACCTTGAAAAATGTGCTCTGCTCACGTGGCAGAGGAAGAGTCAGTCAGCCTGGGAGTCTTGGCCTTCTTGCTGAAGCTTGTTAGACTGGCAGCCCCTGAGGCTGGACCATATCCTTAGACAACACAGGCGTGCACACCTGAAAAGCACCCAACGGTGCTAGTTGAAGGAATGAAGGGAGAAAGGAATGTGAGATGCCAGATCCTTGTCCCTTTCCCAGATACAGCCAAAGGCGCAGTGACATTGCTAACTGGTGTCCTCACAGACCCTCCCTGCTGGCCTGAGCCGGGAACTCTCATGCCAGCTCTGAAAACCTCCTGGCAGCTTTGCCACCATCACCACCCTGACAGGCTTGCAGGAGGCCTAGATCCCATGCTCTTGCGACTGGCTGAGACAGGAGTAAATGAGGGTAACTTAAGGCTCTCTGGAGAAACCCTGCCCTGGGTTGGGCTTAAGCTCAGACTCCTCCCAGCCTCCAGGTTTCCCTGGCCAGGACTTGCCTGGTTTCAGATGGTCCTGGAGGTGAGGGAGGAGCTCGTGTACCTTGTGAAGGGATAGTCCCCCCTCCCAATGCCACTACCATGGGAACAAAGTGCAGAATCCTAGATGGTCTTAGCACAGGGGAGAAGGGCTGCAGGTGCAGGATAGGCAACTCTGCCCCCACCCCGGTATGTCACCCTCTCCTCTCAATGCCTCCTTCATGCTCTTTCCCTTTAAAACTCAGGCCTACATGTGACCAATGCCAGAACCCACCCCCTTTGTCTCATTAGCACGGTGGAGACAGGACAGCCTGGCATCTTCCAGGAGGATGGAGAGTGAAGGCACCCACCATTCGATAGACACCTGGTGGCTTGTGCTAGGTCCTTGACAGATCACCTCGTTTAAGCACCACAACAACATTATGAATTTGACATTTAACTTGATTAAAAAAAGAAAAGCAAGACTAAAGGAAATGAACCAAGAAAATACCAGAACATTAAAAACATCAGATTTATATTAACCAGTCCGTGTTCAGGGTACAGGCTCTGGCACAGACAGGCCTGGGTTTGGCTCTTGTCTCAGTGTCTGAAAATGGAAACCATAGTGCCCATCTCAGAGATTCTTGTGAGGACGGAATAAGCTAATATATGCAAAGTGCTCGGCCCCGTCTCTGGCACACACAGACCCTCAGTAACTACGGGGAAATGTTACTATCAGAGGGTCGTTCTTTTTCATGTCCACACTCCCCTCACACCCCGGCCCACTCCTCTGGATTGTCCTCTTCCCTTCCCGGGGAAAAATTCCAGACACGCACCTCATCTAGGAGGTCAGGCTGAGTTCCTGGCCCAGGGCAGACACTCCGAGTCTGTTGAAAGAAAGAATGATGTAGCCTGCACACTTCTCCAGGTTTCCATCAGTAACCACAAACCCGGCCCATCACCCTGCAAGCCCAGTCAATTTCCCCTTCTTCTTTCTTCTTCCTCCAACTGAAAAACCACTCTCTCCACTGAAACTCAAAGTCTCTGGTGAAAGACTCAGTGGTCTGGCCAGCAGCCCATTCAATGGTCTCCATGGCATTTCCGTCGTACCAGGACTCCGGGTTCCCACGGACAGAGGGTAGATTCCCCTACAGGCTCCCAGGGCCTTTGCTGTGCCCCACCCATATCCAAGGTCACCTGAGCTTCTGGCCCCTCCCTGAGTGCCTGCCCCACCCCTGCCCCATGCTCCCACAAGGAACAGAGGTGGGTGGCTTTGCATCTCCTCATTCAAGGGCTGACCCCTGGTAAGAGAAGCTCCAGGATCCTCCCAGTCAAGCTGGTCCTGCAAGTGACAGTTTCCATGGGTCCTTTGGGGTCTCTTCAGCAGCCTTATACCAAGAAGATGATACGTGAAGCCGGAGGCACATCGTCCTATTCTTTGGTCAGCTAACAGTTGTTGAGTGCCAGCATGTGTCAGCCATGGGCTGGGCATAGTGCAATAAATAAGACAGATAGCTCCTGCCCCCAGTGACCAGAGTATTAAAACCCACCAAACACACCATCATCTTAGATTAATATTCAACCCCTACACTAGGCAGAAACATCTGCACCTGGAGACTGGCTCCAGTCCAGGCACTAAGATGTTGATGGAACAGCCTCACGATATCTGGGGACAAAATCAACCATCCAGAATCTTCATCTAGTTCCTTTGGGTTGGTGTGGCTAATGGCTCAGTTGTGTCCACTTCCACTCAGGAGAGCCCTTCCCTGGCTCAGGTGGAGACAGGGCTGCTGTGATCACCTACTCTTCCCCTCCCCAGCTGGGGCTCTGGTCTGAGGAAGGAAGAAGCCAGCAGCGTTCCAGGATAGACTAGGTTATGCTGCATTAACAAACAGCCCCCATATTAGTGATGTAGAATGAAGCCAAGTTTCCATCTCATCAATGCCACATGGCCATCTTGGGCCAGCCGGGGGCTCTGTCCCGTGTTTCCTCACTTGAGACATAGGCTAAAGGAGTAGCCAGTATCTGGAATGTGGCCAGTCTCCATGGAAGAATGAAGGAGCGCCCTGGAGGGTTGCACACAATTAAATGGTTTGGGTCATAAATTACACGTCATATCTACTCATAGCTCACTGGCCAGCACGAGTCTCATGGCCCCACCCAACCACAAGGGACTAGGAGGCACAAGCCTACCATGGCCCAGAAAGTGAAGAGCTAGAATACTTCATGGACAGCATTAGTGAGCACCGCAAGTCTCCTAAACGCCCAGCATTAAGACAGTTCACACGCCACCTCCAAAATGTGCCCAGCACGCTTGGGGCAGGGCAGACCTCAGGGCCCTTTGCTCCTGGTAAACCTAATCTCCTCCCCGCATTGCCTGATTCCTGCGGGAGACGTGCAAAGACTTCATTTCTTCTTGGCATGCATTTAGGAAGATCCTTGCCTCAATCTCTTCCTCTTTGTCCCCGAAGCCAGGCATCCTGAAGCAGGGCTTGCTTGTCACTCTCAAGGGCTTTGCCCATCCTCCTCCAGGCATCTCAGCCAAGGCCAGCAGGCCATGGTGCTGGCTGCTCTCTCCTGGGTGGCCAAAGTTGGTCATCCTAGATCCTTCATTCTCTCTGGCTCTGTCTTTACCAAAACCCTTAGAATCACTTAGCCTGGTGTCACCACAACCCAACTAGGGCCTCATGGTTGCCCTCTTTCCAGAGATGAGCCTTATCTCAGTGTCCCCAAGATTACCTAGGAGTTGGGGGTATTTCCTTACAGATAACCACCTGCCCTGTGGGTGTATCTTCCTCTTCTGGACCCTCAGGGTGAAGCTTCAGGCTTGAGAGGATCCCAGTCCCCTGGGGCAGAGGGCTTTGATGTATCCTGACTTCTGGAGACCAAACAACTTCAGAGAGGACTCATTTTCACCCTCCACTGTAGTGTCCAAGTCCTGTTCTGCAATGATAGCTGCAGGCTTTAGTCCCCTTGCAGAAAGCCTGTGATCTGAGCCTTGGCCAGGCTCCCACATTTCCTCCATGGATGCTGGGTAGGTCTTCTTCCCAGGCAGTAGGGCCTCTGAATCTGCATAAGCTGGTGGACCTCTTCTAGGGGAATGACAACTACCCATTTAGGAAGAATAAATCCTCCCATTTCCCCTGGAGCTTGGCTGAGCTGTCTGTCATGAAGAGTGACCAGAAGTCTCGATATTGGGCTGGTGGAACATAATGTCCTCCTGCAGTTCTGAGCGAGCTCAGGCCCTGTGATATGACCTGCCTGATGCGGTCCAGGTCCCCTCGGTGCCTTGGTGATGGACTCCCTGACATGCCAGGTCACATGGGGAATAGCCCTCCCCTCAGCTCCTGGAGGAAGTATCTCCTTCCTCCTCCTATCGTCACTCTCCTCCATGGGTCTCCTCATTCCCTATCTGCCCTGTTGGTGTCCAGGCTCATCCTTTCTGGCTGACTTTCCTGGGTCTCACCAGAGTAGGTGCCACGAGCCCTGCCTGGTTCTTGGCTGGAATAAACGTATGACATCTCCTCAGCAGAGAAGCCTTGCTGGCCTCCACCCTTCGGTCTGCTCTCAGCCTCAGGACTGATGTGGGGGGTTCATCCTTGGTCCTCATTTCCTGGGGCAGGGAAGCCCATTCTGCCTTCACTGCCCCCTGGTGATCTATTCTGGGGCCCCTGGCAGCAGTCCAGCCGGTTCCTGTGCCAAGCATGTCCAGTTCCGGTAACGGTCTCTGCTTACAAAGGATTAGGGGTTCCCCAAGGGAGATATGAAGGCCCATCCCATCCCAAAGAGTCCAGCTCACAAAGTTGAGCTCTCTGATCCTCCCACAGCTCGTGGTAACCACAGCCTTTTGCACCCACCCAGGGAGACTCCCCATCTCATTTTTAAGTTCTTCCATCTCTCCCTTTTGTCTAGGACGACGGGTGGGAGGTGGAGTTGGGAACACAGGGCAACTCTCATTTTTTCCTGGTTTTCATCTGTACAGAAACTGACATCTCTCTTCTCAACCAAGGGCAGGGTCAAGGATTTGCTTTGTCACAGACCTAACCACATGCTGTGGTTCCCAGGGATGACAAAGGGAGGGGCTGTTTTTTACAGATATTGATGAATGCCGTCACCCTGGCACCTGCCCGGATGGGAGATGCGTCAACTCCCCCGGCTCCTACACTTGCCTGGCCTGTGAGGAGGGCTACAGGGGCCAGAGCGGGAGCTGCGTAGGTGAGGGCTGCTTGCCAAGGCACTGGGAGGGCCATTCAGCCTTGGGACCGCTGGTGGAGCCCACACACGGGGAGGGGAAGAGGTGGGCAGAGGGAAGTGGCTCGGAGGCTATTGTACATGGTGATCCAGCTGGGTTCCCAGATGGCATGGGCGTGAGGTGGGTGTGCTTCAGTTACTGGTGCTCTGCCTCTGAATCAGCTAGGGTGGGGGCCCCTTCTGCTCCTTGGCTATATCCGTCCTGGAACTATAACCCAAAGTCCCAGAAGCTTCTGTGGCTGGATCCTGTGGGGTGGATTGAGGAGCCTAAGGTCTCAGGATGGAGCTGACTGCGGTGGTGAGGACCGGCAGGCAGGCCCTTCCACGGCTCCCCGGGAGGAGGGCTTTCTGCCCCCCACATCTCCACAGCAATGTCCAAGCAGCATTGCCTCCTGGGCGGTGGTTGCCCGGCTCCCCCTGGAAGGGGCTCACCCAGGAGTAGGAGTGTTCTTTCCCCCAGCCCCCTCAGGAAGAAGGGCCCGGGGTTCAGAATGCAAGGAGGGACTGAGTTTTGAATGGATGCTTTGAGGCTCTGGAGAGGTCAGGCTTTTCCCAGGCCCTTTAGACTGGCACTCGGCCACCCAGGCACGGCCTGGCCTCCCTCCACATGGCCCGCCCACCCGCTGAAGCTGGTTGTTGGGCTGGGAACACAGGTTGTTTGGTTGGCAGGTAGGAGGTCAGAGGGGTTCAGAGCCACAATGAGGTGAGTCAAGGGTCTGGGATACCTCATTCCAGTGTCCTCAGGTGGGTTGACCCAGCTCCAGGGCTGGGGGACCTGGCCCCCTTTTCTAGGATGTAAGCAGGGTGCTGTGTTACTACACAGGGCTGAAGTGAGCCCAGGGGCAAAGGGCACCATGCCCTGCGTAGGTGGGATGAGGGAGCATGGCCTCAGGGCCCCCTAGGGTGGCCTACGGCACCACTGAAGACTGGTTCCCTGGCCTCAAAACTGAGGTGCTCTGAGCCTGCCAGTGGGGCTGCATGAAGGAGGGGAGGCCAGCTGCCATCTTGGACTTCTCTCCCACAGACGTGAATGAGTGTCTGACCCCCGGGGTCTGTGCCCATGGGAGGTGCATCAACCTGGAAGGTTCCTTCAGATGCTCTTGTGAGCAGGGCTATGAGGTCACCTTAGACGAGAAGGGCTGCCAAGGTACAGAGGTGCCAAAGCAGCCTTCCTCCATGGCAGTCCAGCCTGTCACTCCTTCCCCTCTGCACCCCCACCCCCACAGCCACTCCGGTCCTGCCTCCCCAGCCACGCCCACCAAGGCCTGTCCTCTCCCTGCCCCTGCCCACCTGTCCGTCTCTGGCTGTCCTGGCACGTCTGTGCTGCAGAGTCCCACAGAGAACTCAATGCCCCGTTTCAGATGTGGATGAGTGTGCCAGCCGGGCCTCGTGCCCCACAGGCCTCTGCCTCAACACCGAGGGCTCCTTCACCTGCTCTGCCTGTGAGAGCGGGTACTGGGTGAACGAAGATGGCACTGCCTGTGAAGGTAACCTGGGGAGGACTTCTCACCTCCCGAAGAACATTCCATTTGCCCCCCAGCTTTGGGCTGATGCTGAGGGCCTCCAGGCTGGTCTAGAGGACCCTCTAGATGGACTTGGCCCCCAAGGAGAGCTTCTATTGTCATAATCCCCAAGTTCAGAGGTGAGGACAGGAGGAAAAGAGAGTCCCAGAGACAAGAGGAAAGCTGAGGGCAGAGCTACCCCTGGAGCATTCTGTGGAGCGGGTGTTGGGGTTGCCTGATAGAAGGCCCCCAGCCAGGGACTGCCCTTCCTCAGGGGCTCAGAGAGGGAGGCCAGAGGTGTGAGGTTCTGCATCACCAGGTGGAGGGAGCCCTCCCAGGTTGTCTGTCTGTCTGCCTCAGACCTAGATGAGTGCGCCTTTCCGGGAGTCTGCCCTTCAGGGGTCTGCAGCAACACTGTTGGCTCCTTCTCCTGCAAGGACTGCGATGGCGGCTACCGGCCCAGCCCCCTGGGCCACACCTGTGAAGGTAAGAGCCCCCCAGTGGGGGAGAGAGCCAGTGGAGAAGCCCAGCCAGAGGCAGGGGCCTGCTAGGGTGGGCAGTGGGGGAAGGAGATACTGTCAGCCTGCTCCCTCGAGGCTCCCCGGCACCCCTCCAGGCTGGGCTGCTTTAGGAGGGGATGATGTCCCTACAGGTCCAGTCTCCACAAGCAGGTGACAGGTCCTCTGGAGAGGACCACCCCCCTTGGTTCCTGTCCTTGGGAGGTGATGCCAATAGCTGCCTTCCTGCCCTGTGTGCCCTACAGATGTGGATGAGTGTGAAGACCCCCAGAGCAGCTGCCTGGGAGGCGAGTGCAAGAACGTGCCAGGCTCCTACCTGTGCCTCTGTCCCCAGGGCTTCCAGCTGGCCAATGGCACCACGTGTGAGGGTGAGTAGGCCAGCTCTCCCACCAGCGACAGGGGACAGTGAGTGTGTGGGGAGGTGGGGACATCCCCAGGAGACATCCAGTGCCCATCTTTTCCCCGCAGACGTGGACGAGTGCGTGGGGGAGGAGCACTGCGCGCCCCACGGCGAGTGCCTCAACAGCCACGGGTCCTTCTTCTGCCTGTGTGCGCCTGGCTTTGCCAGTGCAGAGGGGGGCACCAGCTGCCTGGGTGAGAAGCCAGCATGGGCACGCTACTGGCCAGCAGCAGGGGCGCTAGAGGCCACATCCACAGCCGAGTCCATTTTAACACCAGTACTGAAATAAAACACTCACGGGCCCACCACTGGATGAGAAGATGGGAGGCCAGTGTTCACAGTGATGGTGGGGGGGGTTCTCCAGGATGTTGGTGACAGGCGTGCACCCTCTCCAAACTCTGAGTGTCAGAGCCGCTGCCCCAGGGACCCTCCCCCGCCTCGCCTCTGGTTTCCAGCTTTGGACTCTCCCTCAGATCTTCCAACCCTTTCCTACCCTGAGCCACTCCCTGACCTCCCAGAGGACGCTGCCTGGGGCCCTAACGGGAAGGTACCCATGGTGGGGTCTGCTGACGGCCGTCTCTATTGTAGATGTGGACGAGTGTGTAGCCACAGACCAGTGTCTGGGAGGGCATTGTGTCAACACCGAGGGCTCCTTCGACTGTGTGTGTGAGACTGGCTTCCAGCCCTCCCCAGAGAACGGGGAGTGTGTGGGTAAGGGCTCTGGGGGAGGGAATAGGGCTCTGGCCACGTCTGCCCACTTCCAACCCTCCTGGCCCTCAGCTCCCGTGAAGCAGGTGCTCTCTGCAGATTCATCATCTGATGGATAATGCATTTATTGAGCCTTTGCTGGCTCAGGGACTGTCCAAGGATGACAAAGTGAAGACAATCATAAATCATAATCTTTGTGCCGGCAGAGCACACAGTCTAAAGGCCAAATAGATTCAACAGACATTTATTAAACACCTGCTACATTCAATGTCTTTTGCTAGGACAAATAGACAGTTATAGACGATCTTCAAATTGAGCAAGGGAGACAGATAGGATGACAACTGCCTGTCATACACTCTGCTGAAGGTTTCGCATGCAGAGAAATATAAAGTGCTTCCTGAATGGCATGCAGTTCTCTTCCTACATGCTCAGCCCCGCTGGGTGGGGGCGATTATCCTCAACCGGATGTGCTGGGGTTGAGATGAGCACAGTAATTTGGAACAGATCAAGGACCCCAGAGGGTGTGGGGCATGACCCTGTAATGCCAGCGAGGTGGGACCACAGCAGTGACCTGGCCACCTCTGTCCCCTCTTGTGGCTCTGGGGACAGATATTGACGAGTGTGAGGACTACGGAAACCCCGTGTGTGGGGCCTGGAGGTGTGAGAATAGCCCTGGCTCCTACCGCTGTGTCCTGGGCTGCCAGCCTGGCTTCCACATGGCCCCGAATGGAGACTGCATTGGTGAGTACGAGGGGGCGCTGGAGGCCTGCGGGCTGAGGACACCTATTTTTCATGTACTGAGCTAGAAACGATTTTCTCCTATGGACTGTTTTTGCAGCTGTTTGAAGTTCGTGTGTCTTCCATACAGCAGAGCTTACACAAAAATTGAAGAGGAATGTTAATGTTAGTTTTCTTGTCCTATGTTTAGAGGTTGCTTTTCACAGATCTTGGTGTTAATAGACCAAATAAGTATTCCCGGGATGCGGGGGGAGGGAGCTCGCGTGCTTGCACATACCCACCATCTACTGTCCCACAGACATAGACGAGTGCGCCAACGACACCATGTGTGGGAGCCACGGCTTCTGTGAAAACACCGATGGTTCCTTCCGCTGCCTCTGTGACCAGGGCTTCGAGATCTCGCCCTCGGGCTGGGACTGTGTGGGTGAGAAGCCTTTGGGTGACCCAAGGTCTGGGCCGGGGAAAGGAAAGGAAGGCCCTAGGGCCCCCCTCCTGAAATAGTCCTAGTCGCACGGCTCCATCCTAAGTCCCCATAGCATGGGCAAGGGAGGCTTCAAGGAAGAGGGAGGTTTCAAGGCCCCCTGCAGCGGGCAGCCTGGGGGGCTGCCAGGGGAGCATGCCCTGCTCTGCCAGCAGGGAGCAAGCACAGTAGGGAAGGCGCCACCTGCTCTAGAGCCCCCGGGGCCCCATGAGGCATGAGGTTTGGGGAACGTGCACAGAGGGGTAACCCTTCCTCTTTGTCACTTTCGTGACCCTATTCTGCCACTCCTCTCCTTCTCTCTTCCTTCCCATGCCCTCTGTCCATCTGTTCCTCCTTCCTGCTCATTCATAACCACTTTCACTTCTCCCAAGGCCTAGCCTATTTCTTTGGGGGGAATGGGCTGGCGTTGGGGCAGGGGCATGGACTGACTCTTCTTGCCCACGAGCCTGTCCTCATGCCTGGCAGATGTGAACGAGTGTGAGCTCATGCTGGCAGTGTGCGGGGCTGCGCTCTGTGAGAATGTGGAGGGCTCCTTCCTGTGCCTTTGCGCCAGCGACCTTGAAGAATATGACACACAGGAGGGGCGCTGCCGCCCACGGGGGGCTGGAGGTAAGGCCCAGGAGACTCCAAAGACCTTCCTCCCCTCCTGTCATTGTCCATGAAGGCTCTCAGGCTTACAGAGCACACTGCTCCTCTAGCCTCTAGCTGCTGGGAGGGAGGCTGGGCCGGGCCAGGGGCAGGGCAGCTGAGGCTGGGAATGGAGCATGGAGGCCGAGGGGTCTGCTCTAGGCCAGGCAATGTCCAGAAGGCTGCAGGGCTGTGATGGCCCTAGAGAAGGCTCTGGAACCCTGACACTGACTTAGGATGGCCCCTAGGGACCTCAGATTGAGCCTTGGAGGGACCTTGAATCCATTCAATCCCTGGGAATCTGCTGGATGAGAGAGGACTCGAAGCTGAACTAAACTGGCCTCTCCACTTCCCACTCCACCCCAGAGCTGCTGGGTTCAGTCTCTCACCCAGGCTGGCCGAGGACTCAGCGGGCCTGCACTGACTTGGAAAGCGGGGGGACTGAGAACGAGGCAGGGAGGCAGGGGCTGGTAGGTGTGAGGCAGAAGAATGGGTCAGAGGACTGCCGTGCGGTGAGCCAGGGACGGGGCATCCCACTGCCGGGGAGGAAGGCAGGTGGTGTAGTGGGAGGAGCTTTCACACCAGAGGAACTGGGGCCAAATCTGCACGTTGCCACTTAACCGCGACGTGGCTGTGGCAAGGCGCCTAGCTTCTCTAAGCCTCGGTTTCCTCATCTGTAAAAGGGAGATGATGGTGATGATGATGATAATACCCACTTCGTAGGGGTTAGAGCATCAAGTGAGGTGATACAGGTAACAGCATTTTGCATACTGTAAGTGCTACATAACTGTTAAATTTGAGAAATAAATTCAAGGGCTGGGATACCTCAGAGGGTCATGAACAGATACAGGGCATCTACCACACACAGGTCGGAGTATCCCTGAGGCCCCGACAGGGGACCACCCCCCAGAGCCCCTCCGCATGGAATGCTACTCCAGGCAGAACGGCCACCCACCCTGCTCCAGCGTCCTGGGCCGGAACACCACGCAGGCCGAGTGCTGCTGCACCCAGGGCGCCAGCTGGGGAGATGCCTGTGACCTCTGCCCATTGGAGGACTCAGGTAAGGCCCCAAGGTCCCAGTTCCTCTTAGGGTCTGCTCTGCAGGGTGACACTGAAAGAAGGGGTGAGAGGAAGGGGGCAGAGCCTTTCCCTCTCTGAGCCCAGTCACCTCTCTACACAGTTGAATTCAGTGAGATCTGCCCTAGTGGTAAAGGCTACATCCCTGTGGAAGGAGCCTGGACGTTTGGACAGACCATGTACACAGGTAACCTTCCTCTGCACCCTCCCTCCACACTCCGTTCAGCTAAGTGGGCCCTGGCCTGGTCCTCCAGGAGGTCCCTCAAGGAGTCCTGCACCCAGCCCTGGCCTCCCAGGTTGCTTCCATCTTTCCCGTCCCAGGGCTAACTCCCTGCAGAGTTTTAGCTGGAAGTTCTGACCCAAGCTCTTCTTGGAGTGTCCATATGACCCTGGCCTCAGTTTCCCTGCTCCCCCAAAGCTGCACCCTCCAGGAACAAACCATGATGCCTCGACTAACCCCAACCCCAGCCATCCGTGGCACAGGAACAGAGCCGAGAGTACTGCCCTAGAGGCCAGGGGCAGCTGCTTGTCTCCCTGGCCCCACTTATGAAGCCAGAAACTTTGGGGGAACCCATACTCACATCGGGGTGGTCCAGGTACTGAGCCCCTTGGTGCCCTCATCCTGAGAAGGAAATGATAGAAATAGAAGTAGCTTTCTTTGAGCGCTTGCTATGTGCTGAGCACTATTTTGAGCACCTTACATGTATTAACACCTTTTAATCCTCATAACAACTGCAACAGTTTAAGTAGTATGTAGGAAACTGAGGCAAGGAGAACTTCAGCAACTTGCCCAAAGCCACCCAACTAGTAAATGGCAGAGCTAGGATTCAACCCAGTCTGGCTTTGGAGTCCCTGGTCTTGAGTACTGCCTCATGCTGCTTCTCACCTTCCCCTCACCTCAGCTCTGCCCTCCCGCAGATGCTGACGAGTGTGTCATGTTCGGGCCTGGTCTCTGCCCCAACGGCCAGTGCCTCAACACGGTGCCCGGCTATGTCTGCCTGTGCAATCCTGGCTACCACTACAATGCCTCCCGCAGGAAGTGTGAGGGTGAGGACACACACGGCCCCTCCCCAGCCCCAGGCTCTCCAGCCAGTCCCATTCTTGCTGGGAGCCCCCCTTCCTGGGAGGATGCCCGCTGCAGCAGGCAGGTCTGAGGTGGGAGCTCTGGGCTGTCAGGGATTGTCCCCAGGGAGCTGCTGGAACAGTGTCCCGGGGAGGAGGGGGCCTCCCAGGCTGGGCTGGGTTGGGGAGGGGGAGCCAGGGGGCTACCTGAGCATTGTCAGTTACAGGAGAACCCCCTTCCCTGAGGGCAGTCAGTGGGGAAGTGGCCTTGGCACTGCCCCCCATTTCCTGCCACCACAGATCACAACGAGTGCCAGGACATGGTCTGTGAGAACGGCGAGTGTGTGAACACGGAGGGCTCCTTCCACTGCTTCTGCAGCCCCCCGCTCACCCTGGACCTCAGCCAGCAGCGCTGCGTGAACGGCACTGGCAGCACGGGTGAGTGGGTGTGGGCGGCGGGGCAGCAGGGGGAGGGCATCTGGGCTGGGGGCTCACGTGCCTCCGTGCCCTGTGCCACCAGAGGACCTCCCTGATCACGACATCCACATGGACGTCTGCTGGAAAAAAGTCACCAGTGACGTGTGCAGCCACCCCCTGCACGGCCACCGCACCACCTACACGGAATGCTGCTGCCAAGACGGGGAGGCCTGGAGCCAGCAGTGTGCTCTGTGCCCCCCCAGGAGCTCTGGTGAGGGGGAGCGTGGGGGAGACATCTGCAGGGGTGGGCCTGGCACCTGGGAGGGGGATGCCCTCACCTTGAAAGGCAGGGAGCTGGAAAGAAGGAGTAGGGTAGTCAGCAGTGGCCTTGTCTTCCATCCCTGTTGTCTGTGAACAAAGTAGTGCAGGGGAGGGCTGGGGAGAGGAATGCCGTTGGGAACTCCCAGAGGGTGCTGGTCCCCTTCAGCTAGCAGGAGTTGTAACCCACTCCCTCTCTCCCTCCTCCCTGACAGAGGTCTATGCTCAGCTGTGCAACGTGGCCCGGATTGAGGCAGAGCGGGAGGCCGGGGTCCACTTCCGGCCAGGTTATGAGTATGGCCCCGGGCCTGATGACCTGCACTACAGCCTCTATGGCCCAGATGGGGCCCCCTTCTACAACTACCTGGGCCCTGAGGATGCCATCCCCGAGTCCCCCTTCCCCAACACGGCCAGCTACCCGGGGGACCACACACCGGTCCTTGAGTCTCCCTTGCAGCCCTCAGAACTCCAGCCTCACTACGTGGCCAGCCATCCAGGTCTGTGTTGCTGCAAAAATGGGGACGAGGTGGGCACTGAGGCTGTTTCACTTCCATCTCTGCCTGCCAGTCACAGGGCTGCAGGGTGAGGACAGGGGCCGGGAAAGATTAACCAAGCCAGATGTCCCTGCTCATGGGTCACTCCAGAGACAACTCCATATGCTGGGGTCATTGCCTAACAACTCCCTGTGATGAACTAGCGCGGGGACACAAAGAGGTACAGGACGCCATCACAAGCTCCCCTGTGGGAGCTGTGAGCGAGAAAGCGGGTTCCCTTGGGTCTGTTTCTCTCCCTCCACACCACACATAGGATGCAGAGTAACCTGCTCTGCAGAGACCCAGTGTTCAAACTTTGACCTGAAATAGGAATTATGGATTTCTGATGACTTTAAAGGCCCGCTGTGGTGACTCGGTTTGTGAATGGTGACGGTTCCAGCACTCAGGCTTGCATTCTAAGAGGAAGTCAGGCCTGGCACCTGTGCAGGGACACAGCACCCCCGACAGGCCCAGCCATTGCATCAGACAGATTGAAGCCATACCGCCACAGGGGACAGGGCCTTTTCACGGGGTGGAGGGCGCCTAGAGAGAGAAGGGGGTTAGGCAGATCTGGCAGAAGTTCTGCTTTGTGTTGAATGCAGCCCTCTGCTGCCAGTCCCCCCCAAAAAACAATGTAAAGATTTAAATAAAACACCCCCCACCCACACCCCCAAGCCCCAGAACTATACAGAAACACCCAGCCGCTCAGGAGCTGGGAATGATGAAAGCGGTGAGTCCCGCCCTCACTGGAGCCCTCATTTAAAGTGCTCTATTGCGCTTCTCCCCCACCCCAAATGGCACATACTTATTTTTTAAAGAATATTCCTTTTGTTCTAGCATCTTCCAGTTTATGACCCTCCCCACACCTCCTGAGAGTTCAAGAGGGGCAACCCTTTGTGTCAGAGGTGAGGGTCCCAGTGCTGGAGAGGCTGGGGTCCGGGCACAGGCCTCAGCTTCCCTCTCGCTCTGACTCCCCCCCCCCAGAGCCCCCCGCGGCCTTCGAAGGGCTGCAGGCAGAGGAGTGCGGCGTCCTGAACGGCTGTGAGAACGGCCGCTGTGTGCGCGTGCGGGAGGGCTACACCTGCGACTGCTTTGAGGGCTTCCAGCTGGATGCGGCCCACATGGCCTGCGTGGGTAAGTCTCAATCCTGACGGAGCAGACTGGCCCCCTGCCCGCAGAGCGCCGAACGCAGGGTGGCTAGACAGTCCTCTGCTGCCCCCTAGTGCGGCCGTCTGCGTCAGGCCGGGGGTGAGAAGCTCCAAAGGAAGGTCTGATTCTGTGCTTAGAAAGCCCCTTCCTCGGAGGCTCCTAGACAACGGAGAGACAGGGACAAGAGAGCACGGCCTTAGGCACAGTATGAGCTCACTGCCCTCGGCTTCGTGTCCTTGAGTTGCTTGGTTCTGGGAAGTGACTTCAGCCTCTGGCTGTCACACCTAGGATTCCACTGCAGGGCAGGGGCCAGAACTTAGTGACCAGAGGGGCGGAGGCCGCAGGCCAAAGGTAACTTGGGATCCCTACAGCTCTCTCCTCCTTCCCTCCCTCTTAGATGTGAATGAGTGTGAGGACCTGAATGGGCCTGCTGTGCTCTGTGCCCACGGTTACTGCGAGAACACAGAGGGCTCCTACCGCTGCCACTGCTCCCCAGGTTACGTGGCTGAGGCAGGCCCCCCACACTGCACTGCCAAGAAGTAGCAGTGAGGGGTCAGTGTGGGCAGCTACCTGGAAATGGCCTCCAGCCACAGGCCGGGGCCTGGAGGATGCTTTCCTAGCTGGGAAGACACCACGACGACATCAGGCCAGAGGCTCAGCCTTGCCTGCCTTCATCTCACCCAGCTTAGCCCCTGGCTGTGAGCTTCCATCACTGCCTCCATGCCCTTGCTTGGCTCAAATACCACCAATCGCTTTCATGCTTCAGCCACTGGCCAGGAGGCCCAGTCCACCACCCGTCCTGGCCTTGCTATGGGATGCTAACCAAAGGATGGCCCTCGCCCACCCTCTCGAGCTGAGCAAATGTGCAAGGCCCTGTGGCCTCACACTGCAGACACCCCTTTCCAGCCATGATCCGCCTATCATCTTGATGAATCCACAACTGGGACAGAGGCTACATCTGCTCTGGGTGGGTCCTTCAGAATCTGTGGAGCAAGAAAGGGTTCGGGGGAGCTTGGAGATTGACTCCAATGGCCCCTCCCAAGAACCATCGCCACCACTCAGCCAGTCTGGTCTGGGCCCTGCTTGTGCCACATCTCCATCCGGTAGCCAGTTCTCTGGCCCCAGGGAGTGGCAGAAGATCCCCTCACTCAGAGAGGCATGACTGGCAGTAGCTTCTTGAGTGTAAGAGGCACAAATGAAGAGGAACAAAGAGCCTGAGAAAGCAGCAAGAGGGCAATTCGAAAAATATGTGGAGTTGATAAGGAAGGGGGAGCCAAGGCTTTATACAAGTCTAAAGAAAATATTAAGTAGCTTTCAGTAAATTAACATTCAAAATCCACCCAGCAGCAGCCCCTGTGCACCAGCAGCAAGGGCTGCCACAAGATAGAACACCCATCTCCACAGAACATTATTACATACATACTGCTTCTTACAGGAAGCAGACCCTGGAAGCAGGGCTCTCCTTTTTTAAGGACCAGTTTGATGTGCTAAAAATAAAAAGGTCTATTTTCTCGTGTGGTCTTGTTCAGAGGAAGCCAGATTTCCAATGTTGCTTTTCCCCCTCTACTCAGAAGCCCCTGCCCTCCTTCCCTTCAGATAACGGATGGTAGGCATCCCTCTGAGTTTACACACAGAAACTCACTCCAGCCCAGGCTAGCTGGGAGTTCAGAACCACAGTGGAATAAAGAAATATACACCTGGGCTCTTCTGTTCTTGTTTTTATTTCAAATTAGACCAAATTTCTTTACCATGTTGCCTAAGTCTAAATATCAGAGATGAGGCTGTGCCTACCTCCTCCTGGTCAGTTCTACTGATAGCCTACGATTGGGTTCCAATGGGAAAAGCTTCTTTACTATGGAAAGACAAGGAAAGCTTCGACTTTGCACTTCTCTGATGAATGGCAATGTCGATGAACAAGGCTCCATGTGACTGGAGACATGGAAATGAATGCAACTTTCCTAATTTAATCTGTCCTGTCCTCCCTGCTCTCTCATTGTCAGCCATCACATAACTTAGTGAAGGCTTGCTTTGTGCCAGGCACTGTGTTGAATATGGTACATAAATTTCACTTAATCATCCAATAATCCTATCTACCATTTTTATTCCCAATTTACAGGTGAAGAAATTGAGACACAGAAAGCTTGAATAATTTGCTCTAGGTCACTATACTGGTTGAGCTGTTTTCAGCAGACAAAAATAAATGCCTTTTAAGCATATGAAAATATTCTTTCATTCATAATAAAAGAAATACAACTTAAAACCACCCTGAGATACTTTTTTAAATTGTCAGACTGGCAAAGATCAAAAAATTTGTTAAGACTCCTAGTTGGCAAGCATTGGGTGAAATAGGCACTGTCATAATAGCTGATGGGAGTATACATTGGTACAACCTCTGAAGAGGACAATACAGCGATGTCTTTCAAAATTATAAAAGCACTAACTCTTTGATCTAGTAATTTCACTTCTAGGAATTTAACCTTCAGATATACTTTTACCACATACAAAATAACAAATGTAAGAGGTTTTTTATTACAGCGTTATTTATAATAGCAGATGAGAAATAGATTGGAAACAATTGTTATGAGACCCTAAAAAAAAAGTAGCTCTAAATCCCTTGATAAGAAAAATATCCAGAATAGATTGAGGGGGGGAAAGAAGGTTGTGTAATAGCATGTGACATATGCTGCTATTTGTCTAAAGGGGAAAAAGTGGTTATCTGCTAACCTCATCCTTGCCACGCTGCCTTACATACCACCATTCAGAGAATTTCTTACCATTCTCCAAACATACCCTGCAGGCATGGGACCTTCTTAAATACTATTCTCAGTGCTCCCCCAGCCCTCCCACCCTCACCTTCCTACCTGTCCTTCCAGAGATATTGCATACATATACACACATTTCCTTTATTAAAAACACAAATAGCACCCTATGCATGCCGTTCTACACTTTGCTCTTTTCACTTTATACTAGCAAATAAAGCTCCCTCATTCCCTTTTATAGCTGTATTCTATTCCACCAACTGCATAAACCATAATTTATTTAATCAGTCCCTCATTGACAGACATTTCCATTATTTCCTCTTTTGCTATTATAAATAATGCTGTCATAAGTATAAATATTCTCATGCACATGTTATTTCACATTATATTTATAGGAGTTTATCTGTGGGATAAATTCTTAGAAACAAGGGTAGTTTGTGGGGAGGATGACAGGATGGATAGGTACAGGATTGGGAGATTTTTCACTGTATCTCTTTTTGTATCTTTCTGAATTTTGTACCATATGTATTACCTACTCAAAAAAATAAAATATTTTTAAATACAGCTGCTGGTCACAGACTGCTTAAATGCTCCCTCTCTTTATATACTTAAATGACTATAATTCACAATTAAAGCCAGGTGATAATTATTTCAAAATTTCTTAAAGCAAATTTCTGTTAGGCAGCCCTATAGCATTTTTATGGAGAAAGAATGGCAAACAGGGATTTTTAGAGAGCAGTCATAAACATCAATGCTACATACCAAAGTAGAGGAGTTTCCTGCGTTTCAGACCAACATGCAGAAGGAAGTCAGTGCTAGGCCCTACCCAAGGCCAGATGCACATCAGCTCCGGGCCAGAATTCAAGGGAGAGCTATACCATCATGATCAGTGCTGCCCGCCTCAGTTATACCTCCCAAATGTTGGCCCTGCACGCTAATGCCTTATAACAAAAGAAAAAAGAGGCTGGGTGAGGTGGCTCACACCTGTAATCCCAGCACCTCGGGAGTCCAAGGTGGATGATCGCTTGAGGCCAGGAGTTTCAAGAACGAAAGACAAAAAAACAAGGCTCAATTCTCATAAGAAAGTTAAAGAAGAGTATCTTCCTGGACACCTACTTTAGTAGTCCTTCCTAATCTCTTACTTCTGAACTGGTTTTCTCCTAATCCCTTGTGATCAGTCAATATTCCCACACAAAGAAACTAAGCGTGGGTGGGACACATATAGCTCACACACCACTAGTCACTACCATCACATAACTGAAGTGAGATACCACAATAAGATCTGGACATTGACCCATAGGCGCCCTCTTTGAACCAACAACATAAAGCAGATTCAGGGATCACTTGCCTTTGGTCCTTGTGTGATACCCCAGGCAGTGACATGAATAAAAAGTTAAATAATGCCAAGTCTGTAACAAATAAGACCTTGACAACCTTCTCTTCAGAGTAATGGGAAAGTAAAAGATCTTCCAGTTGATACTGGAAGAGTATAGTTTTCCTAAATGAATTTACACAGTGAGCAAAAGTTGTGAAAATGACAACTGGCTTTTATCGGCCACCAGGAAGAGGGTATCTGGCCAGAAAGGGCCTGCAGAAGATTTTAAACTCACTTTACCATGCATTCTCTTGGTGCTATTATTGCCCCATCTCCTGTGTTCTTAATCATCTCCTTCCAATGGAGACTTCTTGTTACCACTTCTGGTTTCACCATGAAGCTTTCTTGTGTGAAATGAAGTGATTTTCCCCAAATCCACCTTTTTTGAAATACAAAATTCCAATTCTCCCATTAACAGTAAGTATACATACAGTCTTCCGCATGCTAAGGGACCCTGTTTCTGCCTAGGTGATCACTGCAATTTAATGATTTATTTATTTAACAACTAAAGCTATTCTGCTTGTGCTCACCACGAGTTTTAAAACCACCAAATCAATAAATAAGCCACAAAAGTATTCTGGAAGAATAGAGTCTAACATTTAAAATGTAGCAAAATCTCTTTTTAAGGAGCATGAAAGGATTTAGGTAGCCTGAACTGCAAATCTCATTAGGCCCAGGTATTGGCAGCAACTTTTTTTTTTTTTTTTTTGACACATAGTCTCACTCTGTTGCCCAGGCTAGAGTGCCCTGGCATCAGCCTAGCTCACAGCAACCTCAAACTCCTGGGCTCAAGCGATCCTCCTGCCTCAGCCTCCCAAATAGCTGGGACTACAGGCCTGTGCCACCACGCCTGGCTGATTTTTCTATTTTTAGCTGTCTGGCTAGTTTCTTTCTACCGGGTCTCACTCTTGCTGAGGCTGGTCTCGAACTCCTGACCTCAAGCAATCCTCCCAGAGTGCTAGGATTACAGGCATGAGCCACCACGCCTGGCCTGGCAGCAACTTTGTGTCTTAGAAATGTGTGTACATACATGCTTCCATGGTGTGCTGCTTTCCGCCTCCTTCCATGACAGCTAAGAAATCTGCTCAGGTTTCTGAATGTCCCCTTCTTTCTTCTAATCACATGATAGGTTTGTTTTCTCTAAGTCCTAGGTTTTCCTACATTGAAAACATAAATAAGCTTCTCCCTCAGATACTTTCTGTTTCTAAACTATTTCCATTTTTTAATAGTAAATTCTCTTACTAAATGACCTTAATTCTAATCCAGTCCAGAAATGCAAATGCTTACTATAACAGATTTGTAGGCTCCCAGGCAAAAGATACATTTAACCAATAACTGGTGCAGAATCAACTTGACTGTGGTTTCCCCAACATTAGTATTAAATCATTTGTGGCTGGGCGCAATGGCTC